TTCTTAGCGATATTCTAAAAGTACATTTTGTATATGCATATCATTTCTCTTGCTCAGAAGACTCTTATGATAATACCAATATCCAATATTTTAAGAACAATTTTTTTTATAAGATAGTTTATTAAAACAAATATTGCCATTTGAAAGGACAATTATTTAGTATTTAAATATAGTAATTTTCACAAGTAATAATTTTAGGATGATATGGTGCAATATAGAATATTAAAAATATATTTTGAGTTGATATTGAAAGTATTTATTATAAAATTAGGTACAACATTTTATGTCAATTTAATTTTCAATTATATACTATAATTTCGTGGCTGTAGTATATAAATAAGAACTCTTTTAATAGCAAATAAATAATATGTGACATATTGTAACCAGTATTTAAAATTTAAATTTAAAATTAAGTTCTCAAAAGAGCTTAATTTATATCATGGCTAATACTAGAAATAGCTGATGATTGAAATTAGAAACCTTAATTTAAAAATATAAACCCTAACAAAATTCACGTATACTTTTTTATTATTAAACCTATTTTTAAACCTTAATCTAACCTCCTAACAGAAGGCTCAAAAATTTTTGCAAATTTCATATTAAAATAATTAAAATTTTAATCATTAACCATTTCTAGTATTAGCTGCGACAATTTATATTATTAGTATTTTTAAAAAGTTTTTAATGTTCTCCTAAAGGGCTAAATTAATTCAAATAACCTAAATTAAAAACCAAACTCCAAAACACTCTTTACACTAGCTTGAATTAAATTATTTAAACTATATAACTATTATAGCATTATTTAGATTTATAAAATAATTTTTAAATAATTGAATTATACAGTATATAATACAAAACCATAGAAATCAAAATATAACTCGAGTTTGGCTCTAAGCTTAACCAAAATAACCTTTCAGAGTACTAGTTTATTAGATTGAAATATATTAATTTTTTTGAAAAATATTTTAGAGTTAATAAAATGTTCTCATATAAGAGAACCTTATTTTGAATATTAATGTTCTTTACAAAAATTGTATATTTCTTTGAAAACTATAAAAACACTGAATTTTAAACAGGTTTATATTATTGTGAGGAAAGTTTTCTAAAAAACAATTTTTTTGAAATTATTTTTTAATAAAAACTATTATTATTATGTTTTTTTTTCTAAGCTAATTCTTTATATAGTATATATTTAAAATAGGTTTTGCTGTAAGTATTGTTCTACTTAATTGCTTTTAGGTTTATTGGTCATTTTTTTATTCTCTAATAAGTTTTTATTCTCTTTCTTGAAATCACATTGATCAACTTGTTAAATGATATATATCTTATATTTGATCACAGAGATAATCACTCATAAATTACTATATAAGTGATTGTAATACAAATCAAGTTCTCTTTGTTTTTTCTCTCACTCAAACTAGTTACGCTTTTACAACTATTACAGGGTCAAGAAAATGCTACAATTTTGTTTTATAATAAGAGAATAAAATACTTGGATAACTTCTATTCTGAAGACTTCTAATTGAGAATTTCAGAAATTATACTCTTATATTTATTACAGTCAAGAAATACTAATAAAGAGAATAAAATATCTGGATAACTTCTACTATGAGAACTTCGAAGTTGGAACTCCAAGAGTTAAGCTTTTAAAACTACTATGTAGTCAAAAAAATAAAGGTTCTATGAGGACTTCAAAGGTAGAATTCTAAGAGTTACACTTTATAAAGTAAAAAAAATACTATGGTTTTATATAAACCACTTTATAATAAAGGGAATAAAATACTTAAATAATTTTTACTAAAGATTTTGAAGTTGAAACTCCAAGAGTTCTTTATTAAAGATAAATTATTACTGTTTTTACCTATAACTGATAACTAAAATACTAATAATACTAATTATTCTTTCTTTTTTTCCTTAGTTATACTGCTTATTCAGGGTTACTTATCATATAGTTATGAATAATTCTGATAATTGATCAATTAATAGATAATTGATAAGTGTTTAATTTGATCAAGCTTCTTCTATATTTTCTTAGTTATTATTATAAGCACAACAATTCATGTCAACTTTTTATTAGACTCAGAGTTTCTAAGACTATTAGAATAAGTTTCATATTCATTAACTTTTCTATTCTATTTTTGCTTTCATTACAAGGACAAGTATGCAATTTACTGGTTTGATCTACCTTAGCAAATTACATTTATTCGTTTTAATTTTTAGTTATGATTAATTTTTTTTTTTAGTCTTATTGTAGATTATTACACACTTTGATTTATGAAACATGAAGTTGATTTTTAAGTTGGATTTGGTAGATTGTTCAACCCTAGAGAATATAATAATTTGGCTTGGCACTTTATATTTCATTTGCTTAATTATCAAGGCTCATTTTAACAAATTTAATAGTTTTAACTTTTTTTTTAAAAGGCTTGGGTTTTAATAATGATTTTATACTTATCCTATGATTTTATTTTTATTTTTTTAACAAAATCCACCTCAATGTTTATTTTAGCCAATTTTTAATAATAATTTGTTAGTATAACAATTCTGCTAATTATATAACTAATTGTATCATTTTTTAACTTACAACAGTATACTGAAAAAGGTAATTTCTTAGCAATACTACTTACTTTTTTTCACTACACTATTAACATATTTGGCAGTACTTTGCTAAGATTTTTGACTCTACTTGGGTACCACAAAAGATAAGTTTATATCTGGGCTTTTCAATTTTGATTTATAGCATTTTAATTTGCTATTTGTTTGCTTAATTAGTTCAATCATAATTATATATACCAATCAGGTCTCATAGTTTTATTGATTATTTTATACAAGTCACAGCTTTTGAATCACATTTTTTGGGTTATAATTACTTTATTTGTAATATAATATAGTATTATTAAATTAAATAATATATTAGATTGGGAGATTGATTTTATATTGTTTAATTATATTTTAAAGATAATAAAAAAATATTTATAAAATAATTTAAATGTATTTTAAATATATAAAGTATATAATAAAATTAAATTTAAATATTTTAAAATTATAATAAAAATATTTTAAAATATAATAAAAATGTTTTTAAAATATAAAAAAATGTCTTAAAATAATAAATAAATATATATATATATTTTTTTTTTTGACGATCATGCTATATGCCCTGCTTTTATTGATCATATACAACAATTTAAAGGATTTTTATATTATATTTTATTACTGGAATGTGACTTACCTGGTTACCTATATAGAGGTACCTAAATACTCATACATCTGTGTGTGACCTGCCAAAGATGATTTTAATCTTCTCGGTTTGGTTCAACCTACATAAAGCCGACCCACCCCGGTTCACTGACCTGGTTCATCAGCCCATTATGATCGCCTTCTTTCCCAATCTTCTTCTTCTAGCCTCCTAGATAGAAGAATTCTACCGCAAGAACAACAGGGAATTTAAGAAAATAAAAGGAAATACAAAAAAAAAAAGGGAGAAAATCTAAATTAAACAAAACAAAAACATATAAAAGAAAAAATAGAGAAAAAAAGAAAAAGGCTACAAAGAAGACAACTATAATGACACTATTTTTGCCTGTACCAGGCTACAGAAATTATATAATATTGCATAGAAAAAAAAATCCAACCTAACACTATATGTATTAAAAGAAGTGAAAAAGAAAAAAAAAGAAAAAATGTCTAACTATTACACGTAATCTCTCCAATCCCCTATACTGTAAACAGTACTGCTGTCATTGTTTATTTGGGAAAGCAGAATCCAAATAAGCTCGTAGGAGGTTCCATTTCAGTAGATGTGTCCTAATTTGGAAGAAGTAAACACTGCCAATCTTTTGAAGGGGGTATGCCGGTTTTCCCACTTTTTGGCTAAAATCTCTAAAAATCCAAAACTGTGAAAATATAGTGGTAACAAGTACTTTCAAAATTTCTAAAGAGAGTGTTGGAAGTCCAGAACTTTTGTTGTTTCTCCTGTGTTCTTCTTTGAAGTAATAGCTCTAGTACTTCGTCAACGAAGTAGAAGCCTACTTTGAGACTTTCTTTCTTCACTAAGATTTTTTATACAAGGGCACTGCCTGCCAGTTATCTTGTATAATAACACTCTTGGCTTGCATGCTAAACATCTTTTTAGAGGAGTTCTCTACAGATAGTTGACCTCTAGACAAATCGCAATGTAAAGCCACATCTCTCTAACAAAAGTTGTGTTTTTCTGTTAGCTGAAATTTTGGTACAAGTGATTGTCAGGGAGAGTTGTCTAATAAAAATATTTTTAAAATATAATAAAAATGTTTTTAAAATATTATATAGTTATTGCATACGAAGTATGCAATAACTGCTGTATTTTATGGACGATGATAATTGGTTAGTAACCTAGCCGGTACGGCTGGGTTACCGAACGATCAGAAGAGAATATAAAATACAGCAGTTAGTGCATACAGAGCATGCAATAAAGGTTTTATTTTATGCTTTACTATCTCAGATTTATGAAATAGTTCAATTATTTTATCATTTAAAAATACCATAAAATAATTGATTTATTTTATAAACTGATCATAGTGAAGTATTAAATAAAATAAAAATATTTTTAAAATATTTAAAAAGTAATTTAATATATTTAATATATAATAAAAATATTTTTAAAATATAATTAATATATATTTAATATATAATAAAATATTTTAAATAATATAATAAAAATATATTTAAAGCATATTAATTATGCTATAATTATTAGAATAAATATTATTGTTGCCCCTGTTACATGACATATTTGTAACAGGTCATGTGCAATATATAAGCAATGATTATCATTGATAATCATTACTTTTTTTTTTTTTTTCTCTCTAGTGCATATATGTTTTGCTAACCAAACACTTTTTTTTCAGATAACTAGGCATCGTTATTGGAGTTGTCGTCTTTGGAGTCATCATCTTTGGAGTCATCATTTGTGGAGTCGTGCCGTCGTCGATTTCGGTAGGCTTTGTAGTATATCGTTGATGGCATTTCGTCTGTGTAAATTCATAGGTTTTGTTTTTCTAGTACGTGTGTTTTATTAACCACCCTCTTTTTTTCAGGCAACTATGTGTCATTACTGGAATCGTCGTTTGTGGAGTCTTCGTCGCTAGAGCTAGTCTTCGTTGGTGTGGTGTCGTTGTCGATTTTGGTAGGCTTTGTAGTGCATCATTACTGGCATTTCACCTGTGTATATGTTTTACTAACCAAACTCTTTTTTTCAGATAACTAGGCATTGTTATTGAAGTTATCGTTTGTGGAGTCTTCATCGCTAGAGCTAGTCTTTGTTGGTGTTGTGCCGTCGTTGATTTTGGTGGATTTTGTAGTGCATCGTTATGTTGTGCCATCATTGATTTCGGTGGATTTTGTGTTGTATCATTATGTTGTGCCATCTTTGATTTCAGTGGATTTTGTGTTGCATCATTACTGGCATTTCACTGTGGTGTCGATTTCGGTGTCTTCTCTGGGTTCCCGCTCTTGTTAGTTCGCCATTTTTGGTGGATTAAGTTATTGCTTTCATTTTTCTAGAGTTTCATCGTCGGTTTCGTGTACGTGTTTTACCAACTATTTTTTTTTAGGAGTTGTTGTCCTTAAAGTTAAGGTTACTGTCACTTCATCTTTGTGGTGCTGTCGATTTTATAGCGTGCCAATTTCAGTGTTTAGAGCTTTTCGGTTTCGCTTATGTAGGTTCATGCTTTCAGTGGATTTTGTGGTGTCTCTTTACATGACGATTTTGATGGTTAGAGTAGGGTGAGATTAGTTAATAGTTAGGGTTAGTTAGTTAGTGGTTAGGGTTAGAGTTAGGGTTAGTTAGTTAGTGGTTAGGGTTAGTTAGCAGTTAGGTTAGTAGGGTTAGTTAGCGGTTAGGGTTAGTAGGGTTAGTATTAGTATTAGTAGAATAAATACAGATAATAAAAATTCATATTTTAAATATACTTACATTTTGATTGGCCGATTATATATCATGTGACCCATAACAAAAATGTCATGTAATAGGTAGCAACAAATAAATTTATCCAATTATTAAGTTATTACTAGTAATTGTAATATTTTTTAAAATATAATAGAGATATAATAAAGTTGTAATAAACCTATTTTTATAATTTTTATAGTTTTTACAAAGTAGCATATGAGAACTACTTCTAAATGACAAGTGCTTTCTATTACAACAGTGAGTGATAAACTCTGAACCTGTTAGCAGATAGTATATAAGAACTATCTCTAAATAACAGATGCTGTAATTCCTTAACTTATCTTATTTATTACTTTTTCAACTAGTTATAATATATTTATTAAGAAAAGTTTTTTGAAAAAATTTAGAACAAATGATCATTAGAAAGAGTTGTTAATTTTTTTTGTTAGTTACTGCTATTATTATTATTGTTATCATTGAAGTTGTTGCATTTCATTATTTTTTTTTTTATTGCTAGTTTTATTGCATTGATTATTACACTTTTACAATATCAAAACTATTATTCAATAGATCATTGGTTTAGGTGCAACAAATTTAGACTGGCAGATCCTCGATTTTAATTGGCTAACGGCCGAGGATCTTCAAAATTTTGGCCCACATTACAAAATTGTTTACTAAATTGCAGCCGGAATTAACTTTTTAATTTTTTCATTACAAAAATAGAAATTCTTAAAAAATAAACCCACATTATAGTAAAATTGACCCAGGAACAATTTTTACTTAATAGGTGGCTATGATTTCATTAGTAAAATTATAAGTAATTCTGACCTAATTTTTTAATCGTTGCTCTTAGCCAATCAAAATCACGAATCTGCCCCAAATTGTTGCGGCAGCTATGCATATAAGTGGATTTGAATTCAATCACTAAAAAAAATGTAATTATTGCAAATCCAACATTGATTGGTTGATTTTTATTTTTTTATTAAATACATAGTAAATATAGAGCTGCGTAAAAACAATCTGTATCTTTTTTTTCTAAATATACTATAATCTGAAATTTTATATTTACATTCAGCAAAATCTTAGTTTCTAAGATCCTAAAATCAATTTTCAAGATCCTAAAATAGGTGCAACTTCTACTAGTAACAATGCTGAAGGGTTTGCCATATAAGATATTGTATAGTATATGACAAAAATTGTAAAGAACACAGAATAGGTTCAGTATTGTAATATAAAATTTTCACATTTACATTCAACAAGACCTTAGCTTCAAAGATTTCAAAATAGTTTTTCAAGATCCCAAAATGGGCATAACTCTTACTAGTAACAATGCTGAAAGGTTTGTTGCATAAAAATATAAAACCTTGCCCAGTTAACTTATTTATAGACTTTGATATACTTTTTGTGAATATAATGGTTCATTACTAAAAAATACCAATTTTGATTATCTTTTTACTTCATAATAATGTTGATTTTTACTAATTTCTGAAAATTATCATAGTCTACTAGACCTTCATAAATGCAACCTCCCTAAATGCATATTCTATGAAAAACCTCCATAAATGCATGGCCTTGCTGTGTCTCTACTATATATACACTTATAGATTTTTACCTTCCTAAATGCAATACCTCCATAAATGCAAGATTTTTTAAAATTTCTATATGGTCTGCACGAATTGCATTTAGAGAGAGTTGACTGTATTTATCAAAATTAGTTAACAAAAAAAATGTTAAATGTTGTAGATAAGTTTAATTTTGAAGAACTTTATAATATTGTTTAACAAATTAATTTAATTATAATGATTTTAATACTTTATTTGTTATGTCTTGTTTGTGTGTTAATTAATTTATAGAAGCTAATCGCCAAGTAAACGGATGTAGATATAATTTATATCAAACGCGTATATGACATTGTTTTCAATTTAATATAAACTAAACACTCTAGTGAAGATGGTGATGACGGAAAAATAGAATAGAATTGCTGTTTTAAATATATAATTAATTAATAAAAATAAGTTTCACTAATAAAAAAAATATATCTAATTCGATCTTTATTTGTGATTACATTTTTGATCACGACGTATCATGCAAATATCACATTTATTGATTTGATTGGTTAATTATCATCGTATGTGGCAAAATCGAATTTTGTGACAATATTGAATGGAGTCAAATCCGCCCATATGGGTTAATGTGGCATTTCGATGCTATACATAGTTTTATATTACTAATCACTTTAGTAAAATCAGATATGATTGTGGAGTTTAGAATGTGCATAATCGAACAACTTGATATATAATATTATCCGTCAGGTACTATGTATACACTGACGGAAAAATTTCCATATTATTGCCGCAGGTTATTATTAAAATCATGTG